AAACTAACGTAACTTGTATCCAATGGCGAGTAAAGTGGTTATTATCAGTGGATAACTGTTAAACTTACGTAACTTGTATCCAATGGCGAGTAAAGTGGTTATTATCAGTGGATAACTGTTAAACTTACGTAACTTGTATCCAATGGCGAGTAAAGTGGTTATTATCAGTGGATAACTGTTAAACTTACGTAACTTGTATCCAATGGCGAGTAAAGTGGTTATTAACAGTGGATAACTGTTAAACTTACGTAACTTGTATCCAATAGTGAGCAAAGTGGTTATTATCAGTTGATAACTGTTAAACTCACGTAACTTGTATCCAATGGCGAGTAAAGTGGTTATTATCAGTGGATAACTGTTAAACTTACGTAACTTGTATCCAATAGTGAGCAAAGTGGTTATTGACAGTGGATTTGATTAGAAACAGCTAATCCAATAACGTTAAGAAGCTCATCAGAACAACTAGTACAAAACAACAACTACAAGCCAAGCTCATAAGTTGCTTTTTTCCTGTTTGTTTTTCAGAGGTGTAAGTTTCATCCTAGTGCTAAATATTTACCAACCCATTTTATTATGTACGCGTTACGTCATTACTCACTTATTATATAAAACAATGTCAGGTTTCCATATATGGTCAGAAGGCACGTGGAGCATATCCACACCGCCATATTCCTTCGGATCCCACCTGAGTTTGTAGTCCTCCCAAAACTGTAAAGAAAAGACAAAAAACGAAACAGTAATTAACTAACACATCAACTCTCAACGGTACGGATTATTAATAAACCAAACCCGCAATAATAACAAAATTAACGCTATATCGATAAAATCACTTAACTATGAAATATAACTTTTGTCTAAGTTCTCTTTCAGAACAGTAACGTTGAGGTATAACCTTGTGTTAAACGTATAAGAAAGCTCTTCACTAGCCATGACAGCCTAATACGGAGAAAGGTTAATACATTCACTTCGTAGCAGCTGGTTGAGCCGTATCAAGTGTACGTTCATTATTTCCAGGACGAAGTACTTTTTAGTTAAAGTAATTTAGCTTGCTTACCAAATGATCTTTGTCTGCCTATATGTGACGAGCTAAACTAAAGGATCGTATATCATTTGTCTTGTACGTCAACTGAATAATTAAACCTTCGTACTCTTCGGTTGTGTTCTACACTCCTCTATTGCTGACGTCGGCGTCGTCTTAACAAACCTCATTATATAGCAAGACTGTTTAATTGGTACACAGTTGTGGACACGTGACAATAAAAGGGAAAGACATTGGCAACGTAGAAATGTTAAAAGATTGCTTGTATTGAAATCATATTGGGATTTCATTTAGCTTAGAAGTGCTTAATATATCGAAATTATAGGGTAACATTAAGTAATGCGAACCATAGGTTAAATGTACAGGTCAAAGACCATAAGGTTCAGACGTAGTCGTCTTTTATTTAGAACTTTTGACCAAAGAGAGGGAGAGAGAGAGAACAACAAGCGAGTAACACCTGACTTCTGCACGGCTATTGATAATCGAATAGCGGGACTGTCTGACACTCTTATAACGCACCTACAGCTGAAAGTGCGGAGCGTGTTTATTGGCTTATTACAAGCTCGAACATTAAGCCTTCAGATCATTAGGCCTACAGAAAAGAAAAGTTTCAGTACTTTAAAATATAATTCAACGTGATTTAGCTTAAAAAGAGAGATGTACATGTTTTAACAGCGTAGAATGTTTAATTTCAGCAACAAACAACTAAAACAGAAAAAAAAGTACTTAAAATGCATGTATTGTTCTCTTGTCTGCACGGTTAGTATTCAACTGCCTCCCACCTCCGGTCAACAGTAAGTTTGAGAACTTATAACGGTAAAAATTGGGCGTCTATCCTCGTAGTTAGCAGAGATCAGATCGCCCACTGCGTAACTTTATATTTAACAGCAATCAAACAAAACGTGCTTTGCTATCGAAATATGTGTTGTGATTAGACAATTATGGATCGTAGGTAAGTTTTGTTATTGAACATAAGTATGAAATGGTTATAAGAGGAAAGATTACAACAATTACAAGGTGAAACTCCAGTTTTCTTAAGTTTTCAATAGCGAATTTCAATCCTCAAAAATGTTATAAAAATCACATAAGAATACGTTCAACACTTTCAGTTGTGGGTGTATGGTCAATGGTGAGTAGTTCCAAGGGACGGCTGTGTGCATGGTTATTTGACCAAGGGACGGCTGTGTCTACGGTTATCTGACCAAGGGACGGCTGTGTCCATGGTTATTTGACCAAGGAACGGCTGTGTCTATGGTTATTTGATCAAGGGACAGTTGTGTATATGGTTATTTGACCAAGGGATGGCCGTGTATATGGTTATTTGACCAAGGGACGGCTGTGTCTATGGTTATTTGACCAAGGGACGGCTGTGTCTATGGTTATTTGACCAAGGGACGGCTGTGTCCATGGTTATTTGACCCGGCCGTTTTGTGTACATCTCGCATATGAATCGTTTAACCAGGGAATGGAAGTAAATAAAGGGAACTACAATACAGTTAAAAAGATGTGCTTCCGTTAAATATATATTACAGTTAAAGATGTGATTCCGTTAAATATATATTACAGTTAAAGATGTGATTCCGTTAAATATATATTACAGTTAAAGATGTGATTCCGTTAAATATATATTACAGTTAAAGATGTGATTCCGTTAAATATATATTATAGTTGAAGATGTGCTTCCGTTAAATATATATTACAGTTAAAGATGTGTTTCCGTTAAATATATATTACAGTTAAAAATGTACTTCCGTTAAATATATATTACAGCTAAAGATGTGCTTCCGTTAAATATATATTACAGTTAAAGATGTGCTTTCGTTAAATATATATTACAGTTAAAGATGTGCTTCCGTTAAATATATATTCTTTACATAGTCAATAAGTTTAATTAATAGAGAAAGTTTCGAGGAAAGTGCCAGAACAGTTCTTACAGTTAGATTGCCAATAACATTGATTTCTTATACAGCAACGTAGTGCGATAAGATTATTTGTGATGTTACTTAGATGTGATGTTCGTTCCCGAGAACCAGAATACTCCACAGTCTCAGTGCTGTAGGAAAGGAAGTGGCGCGAAACGTAAATAAACGGTTTACCCAATATAGCTTCTGAGGATTAATTAAAATCTAGTAGCAATCAGTGACAGTCATTAATTACCCGAACAGTCACATCTTCCATGATAGTCACCTACTGCCTCCAAATGAAGTAGCTATGGTGATGGATAACATAATAAATACAGTACCAGATAGATGCATGCGTATTGAGAGATACTACAGCAGCCGTAAGAACTTTCGTAAGGGGACTCGAAACAAGTCATGAGAAGTTCTGTAATGAGCAGTATGATATCGTATGACGTCACACTGAGCAAATGAAGTAGCTATGGTGATGGATAACGTAATAAATACAGTACCAGATAGATGCATGCGTATTGAGAGATACTACAGCCGTAAGAACTTTCGTAAGGGGACTCGAAACAAGTGATGAGAAGTTCTGTAATGAGCAGTATGATATCGTATGACGTCACACTGAGCATAATTTTTGAGTCGTTTGTTGCCTGGGTTTAACTTCCGTTTTAATTTTAAACAACTATAAGATAACAAGATGGTTTACAGACAGGGGCGGACTGGACTCTTATAATTTTACCGGAAAAAAGTTAGAAGGGGTCCATAAAAATAACGAAACTACGAACTTTTCCAAGGAGTCCACCGGGATTTTTCCTGGTATCTCATTAGGCCAGTCCACGCCTACTTACAGGAATTAATGATTGAATACTGTTTACCGAACGCCCCCCCCCGTGGCACAGTGGTATGTCTGCGGACTTACAACGCTAGAAACCGGGTTT